AAACAACAACCAGTATGGATGTATAATGTTCAAATGTCTCAGCTTCCCTTCTTTACAACAAGTATTAGCGTGAAAACAACAACCAGTATGGATGTATAATGTTCAAATGTCTCAGCTTCCCTTCTTTACAACAAGTATTAGCGTGAAAACAACAACCAGTATGGATGTATAATGTTCAAATGTCTCAGCTTCCCTTCTTTACAACAAGTATTAGCGTGAAAACAACAACCGGTATGGATGTGTAATGTTCAAATGTCTCAGCTTCCCTTCTTTACAACAAGTATTAGCGTGAAAATAAAAACCGAAGAGGACTACTTGGTATGGTAATCTGCCTCTATTTCTGTTTTCAGTCAATTTTCATCTATAGTTTAACACAACATGAGCCAATAAAATATGGAGAAGATTACCAATATCCAAAATGGGCTGATGGAATTGGTTGGTTGTTAGCCCTAATATCTATTGTTCAAATCCCGATTTGGGGAACCGTCATATTTCTCCGGAATATCAAAGTAAGTACAGAGGTGTTATTTTAATCATCTATAATACGTCCAAACCTAAGAATTTCACAAACTACACTAAAACAATATGTAATTACCAAAAGTTACAATAGGTCTGGCATGGCCAGGTGGTTAGAGCGCTTGACTCACAGTCTGAGGGTTGCGGGTTCGAATCCCCGTCCCACCAAACATGCTCGCCCTTTCAGCCGTGGGGGTGTTATAATGTGATGGTCAATCCCACTATTCGTTCGTAAACGAGTATCCCAAGAGTTGGCGGTGAGTGGGGATGACTAGCTGTTTTCCCTCTAGTCTTACACTGCTAAATTAGGGACGGCTAGTGCAGTTAGCCCTCGTGTAGCTTTGCGCGAAATTCAAAACAAACCAAGTTACAATCATTCTATAACAAATAAGTTTTTGTTTTTAGTAGTAGCTTCCCTCCCAGTGACTCAACGGTAAGTCTGTCGGCTTGTGATGCTAAAAACGGGTTTCGATACTCGGAATGGGCACAGCACAGATAACCCATTGTTTAGCTTTGTGCTTATAAACAAAAACCTCTTTTTGGTTGTGAAAGGTTTAAATTTGAAATTGAACCTTATCTAATAAAATACAACAAATATGTTGAATCGTGATTTGTGTTGTCAAGATTGAAGATGTATTTTTTCTTTAATCAGTAGAAAAATGTACTATTATAAATAAGTTTTCACAACTTAATGGTTTCTTAATGTCTTTTATCATTGCTTGCTAACTGGCACATTAATTATTTCTTTTTTGCACAGAATGTTAAGGAAGTTGTGAAGCCTGACACCAGGTGGGGTCCTGCTGACCCAGAAGTAAGACAGCAGTATTTCAAGAAGCAATCTATCGGATTTAGCGAGCCAGAACCAAACACCAAAGAGCTCGATAACCCTGCTCTTGAAACCGGAGGCGATCGGTTTTAAGAGTTCTGGGATACCATAACACAGAAACCCATAAAGCATATTTTAACTATGGTTGGATTAGCTTTCTGGCCTAAAGTGTTTAAGTGGGTATATTTATTTTGGACTTTTTGCGTGACTTTTTGGTAATCTATATGCATCTGTTTGAAACATAGTAACCTTTGTTTACCACGAAATAATTTTTTAACCTTTAAATTTTTGATGGTATTTTTAACAGACTGCATTTCCCCAATATTTTGAAAGAATCTTTAAAACACTCCACAGTGTCGAAAATATAGAACTCTACCAAACTGTATTTAAATCAACGATTATGTGTTAAGACTAAATTTTACTCGTACCTGCAATTCAGAATGATCGATTATAACTGAACAGCGATCGAAGCTGAAGTTCTTTTGAAGAAGCAGATCAACAAATCTGTTGATAGAAAACAAAAAAGTAATGTTTACTTTTAATTAAAGTCACTGGCGTGACTCTAAGTGTTCTAAGAATACAAAAAGTTTGAATACCCACGAATACATCAACAAAGTTTCATTTGCTTAACATTTTTCCATTTCATTCCATAATTGTTCTTTATTAAACTTATAATGCACTTTTAAGAATGGATATTGAAAAGTATTTGTAAATTCCGAAACGTCCATATGATTGTACAGTTTGTTTATGCCGGTTTTTTTCTTTCTTTTTATATTTGAATAATTTTCATGTTGTTTTAATATTTTATCATTGATGACATATACATTATATCTTGTTTTTTTCTTGTTTGTTTGTTTGACGTTAAGCACAAAGCTGCACAATGGACTATCTGTGCTTTGCCCACCACGGGTATCGAAACCCGGTTTCTAGCGTTGTAAGTCCACAGACATACCGCTGTGCCACTGGGGGACTTTTTTTCTTGAAGTTTCATTTAATTACTGCTCGTGTTTAATAATGACTATTTTTTCGCTAGATTATTTATTTGGATGTTTTATTTTCTCACTTATGCAAAAACATTTTATTATTCATCCATATTCGTCCCAAATGGGTCAGCGATAAGTTTACGGACGTAGGACGCTAAAATCCAAGGTTTGATCCTTCA